CTCTCATCGAATACCCTATCATTATCACAAATGACACCATCGCTCTTGACCCGGAGAGCTCATGGGAAACAGACAAGACCAAATCCATGAATTCATTCTGGCAGGGTCGTACTTACGACAGCTCGAGCACCCATGGTGGCGTGAATCTTTACATGAAAGCCAAGTGGGAATCGAGCCTGGCTGTATACTGGAATTTTGGACCTGCGGGCTGGAGAACCACCACGACCGGAACGACAGTGTTCAACTACATGGCCGACCTAGGTGGATCTTTACAGTCGATGGATGACTTCTGCAACATGACGTTTCCAGATCCGACATCCGACGTCTTGAATTCACTCCGTGAGCTCTCTTTCCGAACTGCGCTTTACATACCGGGCGTGAAGGGTAACCTTAGCAAGGTTAATCCCGAGGTCCCTCAAAATCTTATCGAGTGGCCCGAGTCGGAGAGAGAGGGTATTTACCAGCAGACAATAGAAGTCGAGCAGATTGCAAAAGCAGTTGTGTTCAAGAGTCAATATCAATTTCTCGCCATTGCCATCGGCATCACGCTCGTAGCCACGGCCTGTGTTTTCACGGTATTGGCGGGATGGTGGCATCTAGGCCGCGAGGTCTCGCTCTCACCAATCGAAATCGCAAAAGCCTTCAATGCGCCGCTTCTTGCAGAGTCGCATCCCAACGCGGAGGTCAGAAGGCTGCTCAAGGAATGCGGCGAGCAACAATTGAGGTACGGTGTGGTGTGGGAGAATCCTGACTATCCCGTGACTTCGGTACCGACGCTGAGATTGGAGAAGACGGGGCTTTGCGAGAAACCGCGTAATAGACAGGTGTTAGGTCATTAGCCTTATCTGTGCGCAAGAGCCGCAACAGATCATCAGAAGGCGACTCTTGGTGTATTCAGATCCATGCATCCAGATCATCCGTCGCTCTCGTGTTTCCTCGATCGTTCGGATAACGTTTGCACCTCGTGGCAGCACCTGCCCTGTAAGACAGCGCGGTGGCGTCATTGTGGGATGAGGCGGTGGCTGAGACTTCCTACAACTGCTCATGTACTACCTCGCGACTACTTCTTCCAACGAAGCCCGTTTCCTTGGCGATGAGATGAAATCATCCATGTGGATACCATCAGGCCATGCGATAAGGTACCCAGGTAGTGACAACGCCACAGCATGACCTCACTCTCGTGCCAGCTACATGTCAGCCACACTCAACCTCGACATAGACTCTATTATACCTTTACCTACGCACTCTTTTGCCGAGTGATAACGGTCCGATGCGTCCTCTTCAGGAACTGGCCCAGGATGCCAGTGGCCACGCCAGTCCCAGTAATCACGAAACAAGCGGTTCTTTCAGTGGCACTACTCATAGTGTTGTGTCTGATGATAGCGCACAAGATGTAAGTGACTGCCTCAACGTGGAAAGAGCCGCAGCTAACAACATATGACAGGAGAAGCTCGTACAGTTTCTGGCATCATCTACCGTTGATGAGACCAGTACTAGTAGTTTGCTCAAAACGTTCTGTAGGGACATGGAACAGCCGGTGTATTCATCATTAGGGGGTCGATGTAGGTTCGACTTGCTCCGTCTCGTTCTTCAATACTGACATGAGCCAGACAAGTATCGATCCGCTGATGGAAGCAACAACAACATTCACCTGCCTAACGTCGGTAAGGCTGGTTCTTACTACGCGCGCATGGTCACTCCAAGACATATACCTACAAAGCTTCCCGATCCAGAACTGCTCTTCGATACACTGCTCGCGCGAGAAGCCAAGCCAAAGCCACACCCCAGCCAACTATCGAGTCTTTTCTTTGCCTTCGCAGCTGTCATGGTATGCGATGTGTTTCGTACAGGCGACGAAGATAACGATGTGGCCATGACATCTTCATACTTGGACTTATCGTCACTATACGGGGAATCAGAGGAAGCACAGAGCTCTGTTCGCACTTTCGTCGATGGGAAGTTGAAGCCTGATGCTTTCGCTGACACAAGGATCCTCAGCCGGCCAGCAGCGGTAAGATACGAACTCAAGTCTGTTGTGCAATTGCTCATTATCGGTAGTCCTCTGCCCTGATCGTATGCTTTTCGCGGTTTCACAACATCGTTGTCGAGCAACTGGCCATCATCAATGAGAACGGTCGATTCAGCCCTCCCTGCAACGCGGCTGGAATTGACACTGGGTTTTACAAGCGAGCTCTCAGCAAGCGCGACAACGACCTCTTCCAGACTGCACGGCTAGTAACGACCGGATTATACATCAACGTTGTCCTAAAAGACTACGTACGCACGATCCTCAACCTACAGTGCGTAGATTCCTCGGTGACCTTAGATCCACGAGCAAAGATAGAAGGTATCATTGGGCAGACAGACGTTGATAAGGCCCGCGGCAATCAGACAAGCGCCGAGATCAACATGATCTATCGCTGGCATTCGACCATATCGAAGAAGGACGAGGACTGGCTCACAGAACACATGTCTATGATATGTCCAGATATGAAGATTGGCCATCTGACATTGGAAGACATGCGAGCTGGCATGCGTCGACATGCTGCTATACCGCCTGCGGATCCTGGTCGGCGTGTCTTCGCTGGTCTCGAAAGGAAGAGCGACGGCTACTTTCGCGATGAGGATATCGTTCAAATACTCACAGAAGCCACGGATGAAGTTGCCATGAGCTTCGGCCCACGTCGTGTCCCTTTGGCGTTGAAAGTTATCGAGGTAATGAGTATCGAGCAAGGTCGACAGTGGGGCGTGGCTTCTCTCAATGAGACCAGGAGATTCTTTGGTATGACATCCCACACCTCGTTCACCGATATCCATCCCGATCCCGACGTCGCTGCCGCGCTCGAAGTCTTGTACGAAGATGTTGAGAACGTCGAGCTATATGCCGGAACTATTCTGGAAGAGCCAACTGCCCCGATGACTCCGGGATCAGGTCTGTGTGCAGGAACGACGGCGACCAGAGCAGTGGTGTCACATGCGCTCTCTCTTATTCGGGGTGATCGATTCTACACCGTGGACTACACCCCGCACCACCTGACAGCTTTTGGGTTCAACGCAGCTTCCAGCGAATACTCAATCGATGGCGGAGGTGTCATGTACAAGCTACTGATGAGAGTCTTTCCCGAATACTATCGTGGCAACTCGATTTACGCGCATTACCCGCTCACCACCCCTCCAGAGATGAGACGACGACAGAAGTCTCTCGGACACGAAGCGGATTTTAGCTATGAAAAGCCTCGCTATGACTCGCCTCCCACAGTCATCACTGATTACAAAATGATCCTCCGCATTCTTCGGGACCAGACTTTGTACACAACAGCTTGGACTCATACCTTGCGGCAATTGGAGTATCAACCACACGTTCTGCTTGGTCATACCACTGCTGCCATCAAACAGCAAGATATTATTCGGCAAGCTATACTCGGCCCGGAGGAGTCGGTAGAAATCTTTGCGCACTTCCTCAACCTGAAGACCACCCAGCTCGTGCAGAACAACAGCAAGTGGCTGTTCAAAGTTGCCGAGATAGACGCGATCAAAGACGTGGCAGCTCGCAGCTGGACACAGTTTGCTGCGTGTCTGTTCAACATCCCGATCAACGACTCGCAAGATTCAACGGCCAGCTTTGATGACAAGCAGCTCTTCAACAAGATGATAGCAGTGTTTCACTTTGTTCATCTAGACAACAACCCTGCGAAGTCGGCCGCACTCCGGAGGGATGCAATCACTGCAAGCGATGAAATGTCGAAAGAGGTCAGGGTTGTTTGCGAAGAAATGAAAGCATCGCCCGTTGTGCAATTTCCGGAAACCCGCAAACGACGACATGCGAAGCGCAATCTCATGCCAGACCATGGAGCGAAAGTGATGCAACGGCTCTTCGAAAATGGGGCAAAGGTCAAAGAAGTTGTCTCTCTAGTGGTCATACTTGCCGTAGATCTTGTCGTGTTCAGCACCTTTGCCGTAAGCCTAGACGTCGCTTCATGCATGCGCCTCTGCTGATCATTACTAGTTCTGCCAAGTTATCGATCTCTTCCTCTCGGAACCTTACCAATCTACGCACTGGCCGGACATCCAGAAACTAGCGAAAGATATCACCCCAGCAAATTCCGAGGTATTGCGCGCATACGTGCTTGAGGCTCTGCGCCTTATCACACCCGCAACTGGCTTTCTCCGCATTCCTAACACCTTTCTCACTACTAGCGACTGGCGGCACGCAGAGGGTATAAACAAGGGCGATGACCTTATCCTCGACGTGGCAACTGCATCTCGCGATCCCGCTATCTTTCCTGACCCCGACAACATCAACCTCGACCGTCCACACGAGCTATATCTACCATTCATCGACGGGCTACACGGAGCACTGACCAGGCCTATCATCGTTGCTGGTTTAGTCACCCAGTTGCGTATCTTTGCACGAATGGAAGGCCTCAGAAAGGGGCCGGGTACGCAAGAGACGTTGAGGCGGGAGGTTCAAGAGGGTACTGTAAGCTTTTTGAGCGAGGCTAAGGATGAGTGGGTCCCACTGCCAGTCAGTAAGTACAGGTTCGCTACATGAACTGTTCATGGGCATTCTAATCATCTGGAATAGGCATGCGAGTGCACTACGACACCTTCGACCCTACTGCATGCGCGACCTTGGCATGATGAGTACTATGATGGACGTCTCATGATTGAAACCATGATAGAGACGCCACACCTCCAACCAAACGAGTTACATAGTAGTCTCAAAGATGTATCCTTAGTCTCCTACTACTATACCTCCGCTTTCCTTCGCATTGGAATCTCGCGACTCGTTCCACATTGGCCTTACATTCACTCTAATTCCTTTAGCCCCGCATCTAAGTATTGGGATTGAACCAATCGCCATGCCTAAAATAAGACTCGCAGTAGTAGTACTCGTGACGATTCTCGTCATGAAATGCGCATAATGTTCCACATCTACATCTCGGAGGCCTGTTGGAGGATTAGTATACGTCTGACACAAATCATAGGTACCTTGTTACTCACAGTGCCTCATCCGGGGTATCAAGAATGACTTTCAACGCCGCTTCCTGGTCGTGATGGCGCTGGCCCTTGAAGATCGCCTCCCACTTCCGTTTCGTGGCCGTCTTCACAGCACCAGTCAACGTCACCGTTAATCTCTCCCCCAAGCTCTCTTCCTTGCACTTGTCAATCAGGAAGGGATATGCGAAGGTACAAATCCAGTCTACTATCGTACGCTGACAGCAAATGTAATCTTCTCCTCCATACCGAGGCAATCGATGTTTATCGGGTCTACAGCCCCAGGGGCTGCCCTGGTAGCCGTCATATGGTGTCCGAAAGCGGAGATGTAAGTCACGGAGGTTGTCAAGCTTTTGAAGACAAGAACCCATTGACTCAGAAGCAGTAATCGCGATCGGAGAATAAAGCAGACTAACGCCGAAGAACTCAAACCACTCCACATTCGTGAAGTTCAACTCGATCTTAGTCAGATGCTGGTAAGCCATCGCGGGACCCGCCCACGCTTTAATGGCTAGAACGAACAGGTCTGGTGTGAAGAACCGGCTACGCATTCGTACCCAGGCAAAATGGAGGAACTCGTCGCGGATCGTGGAGTTCACCGCCGAAAGCGAGAGACTCGGTTTGTGCACAGGAGGTCGATCTTCCGGCACACGGTTTTCATCCCATGGAGACGCCAACAGTGCCTCACCCTTTACACGCATAAACAAACCGGGGTGATAGCCCAGCCCCAGAGTTAGCTGAGCTTCAGATTCCGGCTCTCCATCGGGCCAGAAGCAGGTGTACCCTTCAGCGGTGCACAAACTGTTCAGCGGGTATACTTCACCGCCAAGCGCGGCCTTGTAAATCTTCTCTCGGATCTCAGCTGGAAAGTCCTCGAAGCGACGTTTGCTGCCCTTGCTCTTGTACCACTTGAACTGCAAGTGATAGCCAAGGCGACCGAGCCATTCGCGCGACTTGATGTTCTTCGCGAGCCAATCACCGAAAGACACCCATTCCTTCTTGTCTGTTTCGTAGATGTGGATAGTCTCGGCAGTTGGCGGCGAGCCATTAGGCAATATGGTAACCCATTTCGCCTGTTTCACGCTGTCTTTCTCCACGACTTCAAGGTAGTAAGACTTGATATCGAAGAGATTCATATAAGGCGGCCAGAGCGGAGGTGCATCGTTGACAGGCCGGATGTTGACCCGCAGGGCGAAAGCAGCAAAGTTGTGTTTCTTCGGCGCGATCATCGTGTGGTACATCTCAGCGAGTACGGGGTCATTGAAGTGCCAGCCCTTGTTGAACTCGTACGTGGTCTCTTCGGTGAAGCGGCCGACTTGTCCATCGCGTGGGCGCCGCATCATCACGAGCGCGTCGGTGATCTTGTCGTTGCGCGCATCGGAGAGGACGCGGTTGTACTTGCGAGGACGCTTTGCGAGGTCACCGGCTGGAGGATCGAAGATTGCTACGCGGCTTAAGAGAAAGATTGGTGCTGCTGCGTTGAGCGTCGAGGACTTGACGGGCACGAATGGGGGCGCTGTGGCGGTGAGCTTTGAGCTCTTTGCAATACCAGTGGTTCCGAGGGAGTTGTCAGGGTCAAGTTCTTGGATGACGGAGTCGAGAGTAGCCGTATTCGAGGGAAGAGTGTTGTACTCGTGTTGCCAGTGCTCGCAGGAGTCATATGATAGGCTAAAGGGAGTCACCTCGAAGCCGCTCGAGTACTGTTGAATGGGATAACCGTGATAGCCGACGGGCGAATGCACATGGTAATTCCAATACTGAGCTGGTACGAACAATGGTATCCGAGGAAGAGTAGGACTAGCCATGTCGTGTTCGGTACCTGACTGCGAGTGGTAGCCAGGGTCGGAAGGGTCCGCGGAGAGACCGGAAGCAGCCATTTCGGACATCGTGTTGGAGTTGAGGAAGTTGGTGGGCCTTGTAGTTGAGTGTGTCCGATAGACTAGGGCTTGATATATCCGGGTATATGCACAGGGAGGTGATACTAGCGCCAAGTAATGGGGACGGTCTGTGCATTCTGCTGTAGGCAGTAGTAATATGGAATGGAGTAGCGTATACAGAGGCTTCACTTTGCTTTGTCTGGTTTCTTCCATGTTAGTTGGGCTACTAAATGTACAGAACAGTTAGTCAAAATACCTGGTGCATTGGATCGTGGCAACAAAACTTTTGCGAGGCCACCTACACACGATATAAAGCATGATGAAGTAAATCGTTGACATGTTTATGGTTTGTGAAGCTAGCTTTGAGTTTCATGTGGCGAATAGATAAGTAGGATTCATGTTCAAACCCGTCTTGTTCGATGTGTGCAGATTGCGATCTTGGTCTCTAAAGCTTCACTCATTCTTCGTCCAGTGAAGAAGCATCCTCAATTACAGCACCTTCTATCAGGACTCCAATGGCTGTCCGCATCTGACGATATCCGGTGTACCCCTCCAGCTCGTTGAACAAGGTCATCTCGCCTTGCGACGAGCCTGTTGGACTGGATGCCTTGGTCTTCCGAAATCTGGATGACATGCTCCTGGTCTTGGCTCGCTCAAGAAGCGTCACCCTATTCCTCGCAGTCGAAATCGTCAGGCCGAGGTAACTCGTCCCAAGACAAGCCGTGATCGTAGTGAAAGTGACGGGTATCACTCATGACCTGGCAAGGCGTGCGACAGAAGCATGGAGGTGGGCTATCACTGATTTTAGCAAATGAACAGCGTGGAAAGCTTTCTGAGGATGAGTAGGTGCTTACATATCTGCTGGGGGCGTGTCGAGAATAGCCGCCTGCTCGACAGCGTGGTCCATGATGCCGATTTTGTCCCTTGCAGGTAGCGCAAGGAGTTTATTCCACTTGTCCTTTGTGTCCTTCTTCAGGATACCGCCTAGTCTCACCTTTGGTAGATCCTTTACAAATGGCCAGGCGAACGTCATGATCCAGTCGACCATTGTACGTTGACAACAGGTAAAGCTGTGCTCAACGCCCCACCTGGTATTACGCATCCCAGAGGGATAGTAACACGCTCCATCCTCCGGGCTTCGAAACCAAAGCTGGAGAGTTGACAGTCCGTTCAATGTAGGAAGAATAGGTCCAAGAGATACACCGCTGTCCATGTAGAAGTTTGAACGCACTCGTACGCCGAAGAAACTGAACCAATCGGACATCGTGAAATCGAGAATGAGATGATTGAGCCAGTTATAGTCCGGTTTAGTACTCGCCTCAAGAACTGATCTGAGCTGAATTGGTGAGAAGAAGCACTTTCGGGTGTCCTCCCAGCCAGCCTGAAGAGCCTCCCCGTGGGTCTGCCTGTTGATAGACAAGAGTGCAATGTTGGGCTCGTAGGCGGAGCAGCCTGTAACTTGGTGCTCACGTCCTCCATATAACAGTGAGGGGTGGCGTTGGTCGATTTTACTGCTGTCATGCCAATTGCGGAAGCCCAAGCCGAGACGAACCTCAGCGTCCTTGGATGTAGTCAAAGGGTAGATTCGAGGACCGAGAGCAAATTCGAAGATCTTCATGCGCATCTCCGTCGGGAGGTCGGCGAGCCGAAAATGCTTTCCATTGAGCCTCCACCATGTGCGCTGCGCCCTGTAGCCCTTTTCCCCTACCAATTCTTTGGCAGGCGTCTGGCTGGAAAGAAGCCAGTCCTTCAACACAACCCATTCTTTACCAATCTTCAGATGTAGATTATTCTCCGTTGGGCCGGGCATTGCTGGGGCAAAGGTTACCCAAGCGGTGACTGGAAACTCATTGACACTGTCCACAAAGGTATACAGTTTGCTGCAGTACGTAGTGTAGTCGGGTAAAGCCAGCCAGAACGGCGATGACTTGTCGGTAGGTTCTACTCGAAAGTTCATGGCCGCGACGCCGATGTGTTTGGCCTTCATGTCGCGAATAAGGCGTATAATATACCTTATGACTGGGTCGTTCTGGCGAGGTGCGGGTTCGAATGTGTACTTATATTTTTCCTTTCCGTGATCGAGCATCTCCAGTTTATCAGAGGGTGGCGGACAGCACCGTACGCTGTTAAAGCGGTTGATTGCCTCCCCTTTTCCATCATCATTCCTCGCTGCGCGAAGTAGATGGCGGATTCGGGTTTCCAGGTAGGGCATGGTTGTCGAAGTTGGCGATGGGGTTCGTGGACAAGCGTACTAAGTTGAGAGAACCGCTTGCGGGGTTGATGAGCGGAGTGGCGATGAGTTCACTGGAGGAGTACGAGGTGTTGCGACATATGTAGTGGGCCTTCGGCGCTTAGCGTAAATGGAACGTAGGCTCCAGTCAAGGGGTCAGAGTTCATAGCTTGGGCGACAATGAATTCATTTTCGATGAGCTTCGAAGGGGTGACAAGGGCGGTTTCCGTGTACACGCCAATGTATCCGTGTCTGGGATCAGTCGAGTAGCAATCATGCAGACAGGTACACTAGGCAACTCGCCCAGGCTAGAGAGGACAACGGTTAAATTGATCAAGAACAGACGTTGCTTAAGCGGTACGGCAGATAGAAACAACTCCTACTCCCAAGAACGCCTCGCCATACCAATGCTCCAAGACAAACTGAGCTGCCTTGGACCATACTCACCACAACAGATAAGCGCCAACAAACAATGAAGCTATGGAAAGCCTTTGGCTTCTCAGAATATGCGCCGTGCTAGTACCTTCTGTTCCACAGCACGACTGCTCGTTGTACGTGACGTTGTTGGCCGTCGCAGCAACCTGGAAGACAGAGCCATTAAAGTTGCCATAGTTGTAGTAGTCGACGAGTATCCAATTCGGCGGACGAGCCCACATTTTCTCGCAGTTTTGTACATTGAGACCAACGCTACCGTTTCCGGACACAGCATTGATCTCATCGAGAAGGGAGTATGCTGGTATGAGGATGCTGCTCACGCCTGGGAGACTGACTTCGATGTTCAGGTTGTGGTTCATCACGTACATGCGCTCGCGTGAGACTTCTTCTGGCTGGTTCGGGGGTCGTTGCTCCGTGCATGGGAATGCGGGATCGGTGGGTGAGAAGGGTGTTTGCCATTGATAGTTGAATTCGCTGAGCAGCCACGGGACTTGTTCCTGGTCTGCGCCATAGTCCAAGATCACCACGACACGCTTATTCCTAATAATCATCTCGGCCAATGTGGGCCAGTCCGTCAGATTCAGACTAGCCGAAGGTGGTGTCCATATGTATTCCATTATTCCCGAGTTTTGGAAAGGTGCGATATAGTCTGTCGCTGGGTTTCGAGTGTCCTGGCCGTTGTTGTTGCCCATCATGATGGCAATGACTTCGAACGGGTTTTGGTCGAGCCAACCTTTGACTGTTGCGAGGTATGATTCGAGGGTACCCACGTCGAGCAGGTTACAGGAGGTATGGCAGAGGCGTATAGCGGAGGTCTCGTTGGGTTTCTGGGTCTCGAACTGCACTATTGTTCAACGTCAGCCAGAGTCTTTCCGTATCGTGTATGATGCGCTTACACCCTCGAACTCCATCATTGAGCTGATTAAGCACTGGGTAGTCTTGGTTGCTGGCTGCATTGTGCGGCCTCACGAATGGGCTGTTATGTGCGACGACCATAGAGATGTTGGAAAACCTCCTCTGGCAAAACTCGACGTATCCATTGCATGGCTGAGTATTAGTCGGGCTTGGACGAGCAGATGTCGTGGTCGATGAAGCAGTGCCGTTTGAGGATTCGGTCGAAGGAGACAGCCCGACTATGGCTGTCACCTCTTGTGTTGTCGTCGACGAGGTAGCGGTGGCGTTCTGCCGTCCGGATGTGAATGTGCTCAGGACAATGCCCGGGAGACCGCTCGAGAAGTCGGCGGAGTAAGTGCTCGTAAAGGTACTGGAGACATCGATGATCGTTTCAGTAGAACTGGTAGGTATAGGCGTATCTGACGTGGAGGAGGGAGAAGACTGTGCGGTTATAGGTATTGTAAGTAGGGCCAAAGGGAAGAAAAACAACGTAGGAATCATGAGGGCGATGCGAAAGAATGACGAAGAACTAGTTAGCATGTGTTATGCAATGTCGGCATACAATTGATGCTATGCGCTGCACTTATCGAGAGACGAGGTCAAGACAGTCTGCCTTACCAGCACTACGTTGGTGGTGCACCTTAGCTGACATTCGGCGGAAAGCACGATGACGGCATTGCTCGCCTCGAACGCCGTCACACGTTGTGTCGGATCTACGCGGGGAAGGCTGAATGCGACCATCTCGAAGGCCTATCCATCCTGGGAAACGCCTGTCGCGTTGGTCGGAGATTTAGATGGGTCCAATAGCAGCTACACAATGGTCTGTCGCGAAAATTGACTGCAGTAGGGCTGGCCTTCGCTGCTGTAGGGCTTGTGGCGGTTTTGGCGTACGCGGGTCTCAAAAGCCGCGTCGTGAGGCATTTTGACGCGTCATTAGCCTCCAAGGCTGCGGGTCACGACCGATAGAATCATTGAACGATGAAAAGAGTGCTGAATGGTGATCTCGCTGTGGGACTGTAGAGAGAGAGGCTGGAGTTGCGTACGCGACATGGAACCTTGGAAGACGCCCAGCCTCGCGTGACACGCTAACCGTTTAAGCTTCACCTGGGCAGGGACTGAGGGTCAAGCCTCATGGAGGTCCACCCCATGTGCATACAAGCTTTGGGCCGACTAGGCACACTACTTCCATCAGAGCTCTCGTCGTCTTTTTGCTCTCTAGTGTGTTGTTTTCCTATCTCCGGAGGCATTTACACACGACTCCTGGAGGGCTCGTTCTAGCCTCAACAGCGAAGAGCATGCCGGCCGAGCCTACTGAACACCTTGATATTGGAGACACAGAAATCGAGTTTCAACCTAGAGAATTATCAAACTTGATTGTCACATAGAACTCGCGCTTCTTCCTGTCACCATTCTACTAATCCCAGCAGCCGTTACATCGACGCAGGTCCACCTCACATCCGGATTCGCCGCAAATCTCCATCTACCATCTGATCGACGAAGAAGTCAATGCGCCTTGAACTCACACCAGAGGCCTGAACTTAGTTCAGGCAATCTCTCACACGAACACCCTCTTAACCCCAACCTTAACACAACTCGGCGGATCTACCAAAAGCAGTCAGCACAGTCCCACCACCCCAACATCAGCATCTACCCAAAAAAAGCAAGCACCAAACTTACCAGGTTTCCCAATCCCCGTCCCCCACACCAAAGTCTGCCTAACATACCCCGTCCCATAGTACGTGAAGCAAACCCACCAGCGATAATAGCCCGTCCACTCCCCCATTTCAGGTTTTTCCGCCCCCCAGGTAATCGGATTCTGGAAGTTGAGTATGTCGTTGTTGTCGAAGGAGAGGCTGCCGTCGCCACTGTAGGTCATGGCGAGCTGGGCGATGGATAAGGGGACGATGTCTTGGGGTTGGAGGAGCACGGAGAGGTCGATGGGGTAGGGGTCGTAGGGGATGGTCCAGGAGAGGATGCCTTGGGTGCCGAAGGTCTGGGCGGGGTGTTAGTGGGTGTGGGGATGGGGTTTGTGGATTTCTTTTGATGGGCGGTAGGGCTGATGGGGAAGGCAGGGGGATTTAGAGGGGATGCAGACGTTTGTGATAGCAGTATCGGTTGTGTTGTGGGTCAGGACAACGGGATACTGGGCCCCTTCTTCTGAAAGCGTGGGGCAGAGCGTGAAAACTGCTGCACCTGCATGGCATGCAGATAGTGTTTTGCCATTCAGGGAAAGATCTTCGGATATGAGGACGAGATTGAAGGGGTCAGATTGTATGGTATAGATGGGTTCACAATCGTATTCGCAATCAGCGTCAGCGTGAGTGAGAGCTGCGAAAGCGAGAAGGATGGGAACAAGTTTGAACATGGCGGTGGTAATCTGTACGGCGCGTACAGGTGCAACTTGAGCCAGAAAGATAGGGAGACAGGACGCTGGCTTATAGATATCCATGGAGGTCACCTTCGATCACATCACGATGACTGGCATCTGTCAGAACGTACACGTGGAACGGATTGCGCATGTCAAAAGAGTGTCATTATCTATTAGCATTAGTTGCGTAGCACGTCAAGTCGTAAATCCCGATTGGGCCTTCCTCCATCCCCCCTCTTCTGATCCAACCATTACGGAACAGAAATTTTCATCACAATCTTCCGCTCTAGACAAATACCCTCGTCACGTTGACCGAGACACAGGTTGGGTTGTCTGGCTTGCCCGCACCCAATCCCCATGCCAGGTTGTTGTACCTGTAGCTGGCATAGTCCGTGTCGCAAGCAAACCAGCGGTAGAATTCCTGGTAGTTGCCTGTGTTGTTCTCGCCGCGGACGTAGCCCTGATACGTGAGTTCGTCCTGAGAGTCGAAAGCTAGCATAGTCGTATCGCTTCCGCTTCCGGGGCTGAGAGTGATGCCTGCAAGGTTGGAAGTTGGGTCGAGGTTGAAAGCCGCTGATGAGGGAATGTCGAGGGTGGTGGTGTTCAACCACCAGGTCAAGATGCCTGGTAGGCCGAAGCCGTCCTCTGGTGCTTGAGAGTAGACAGATGTGTTGAATTGAAATTGTGCGCCGTCGAGGGGTTCTGGGCTGTCTCCTACGCCAGCGTTGCTGAGGCAGAGTGATTCGATGGCTGCACCGACGTGACAGGCGCTTAGCGTGTCATTGACCTTTCCGTCTTCGGATGTGACGACTAGGAAGAATGGTGCAGAGCTGATGTTGTAGAACGGATCCTGTGCGCTCGTAACGGCAGCTGCTGCAAGGGTGAGGGCGATGGATGAGGTCTTCATTTTGGATGATGTGGATTAATCTTGTAGGTGGTCGATGCGATGATAGAGTCTTAGGTATGCTAGGCGTTGATCGAGTAGGTAGGAGCTGATGAGTGGAATTTACCAGCAACGGCACGGTCGAGCTTTATACTCACGATCATCCTTCGTAGTCGCCGTATTCGCGCAGCCTCATCGCAGCTCCCTCCAAAGGTTCCACCTGGACAGCAGTCATGTGTTCCACCATAACGGGCCCCAGCCAGCCCATGACGTTCCGCTACCCGTTAGCTTTGGCCGCCTTGCCACACCCACGATGATCCCTTCCAGTCGGCTGCGTTCGCTCCGTATGCAGTACCGCACGGCATGCCCGATGAGGGTCAGCGCAACTCAATCAGGGCAGTTATAGATCAACCCCGCGCGTTAGCGAGCGAAGCTTTCCCCAGCCTGCCGGATAAGTCTTGCATAAGTGCCACAAGTGCCACAGCCGCACAGGGCCTCAGGGTGCATGTAGCGTGAAGATCAGCTGTCAATACGAGGGTCGAATCGATAGCTCAGTACCGAACCTGCAGGTGAAAAAAGTAAAGGTGCGGCGAAAAAGCTGTGTTCGTAAACGTGAGCAATATGAGAGGCATCATAAGCACTGCTTTGGAAGGCTGATTAAGCCTAGTACGAGGTCGTATATGACCTTGCTCGTGATGTGCTGATGCATTCAATATTGTGTTAATTGTGCACCCTCGTACGATGACGATGATGGTGGAGAGTAGTACGTTGCTCTCTGTCAATGACGCAAGGGTTCAGGCCGGTTGTAAGCCGGAGTTACCCTGTTAGCGTCAAACCTTGGAAGCTTATCGATTCTAAACTCGCCGGAGGTGTGACATCGTCTACGGCTTCAGATTTACACCCTCACACCAACTACGAGATGAATGGCTGTGATCGGGATACTGCCTTTGCGATGGTCGCCTTGATTCACTACGCTTCCGCCAGCAACTCCCGTATACGAACTGACCGGTCGCAACACCTAATAATATACAGAGCGCCGGACGCGTAGAATACTAAGAACAGAGCTACGAAGCCATTCTCGAGCCACCGTTGCAACTCTATACTCCTATGGTGAGGTAAGATCTTACGATTACATACTATAAACCGTATGTATGCTTGAGGACCTTATTCCATCGACATCAGAGCGCTGACTGACGACAGGCGCAATATCGCAATAGCCCTTTCGATCAACTATGATGCAACCACTGGACACCCACTCCTCGTATACGCGCAGCACGTAGCTTCGTCATATAAGCAACTCCGACAGCCGATGAGCCACCACACTAGCGATGTCTTGCTCCGCCATCATATCCACTGGCACCCAGCGCAGTGGCCGGCTCGTCGTCAGCATGTGCGCTCCTCCTCTCGGCCGAGTCCCGCGATACATCCTCATATGCAGGTTTTGGTTGCGTCCAGTACCAACAGGCCCATGTGATCCAGCAGAAGATGACATCGAATCCCACGCTGCTCACTGCTGGGTGTTCTAGCAGAGCACTTTGGATTCCCACAAAACCACCATAGGCATACGCTGTTGAGGTAGTCCATGCCAGCATCAGCCCGGCATTCCCTAGGACCAGTGCCCACATGTAGTTGTAGATCTTGTCGGTGAATTGGATATCCTCGATGAAGGATGAGGGCGGTACAACAGCGCGTGCAATGGGCAAGAGCATCAAAGCGATGTGTGGAGCCATGAGCACCGGCATGAAGTGTGTAGGGTGATGCCAGTAGTGTTCGTCTGCTAGTTGCATCGCGGGATAAGCAGTTGCGAAGATGGCGAAAAGGTTTAGGAGCCATGGACCTAGCCACGTTTGCCGGCGCGAACCATATGACGATGGAGCTGGTGCCGGCGGGCTCAATAGTAAGGTGAGCATGAAGAGGTTTGTAGCAAAACTGATGGCCACAATCTGGCCAAGCAGCATGAATGCCCAGGTATACCGGATACCGCGACGAATTCCTAGATATGTTAGTTCAGTGTGTCAATCGATACGAATAGTCTTCTACCTTTCTGCTCCAGATACAACCCCAGACCCAATGCAAAGAAGAATATCTGGTGTGACCACCAGTACCTCGCATATCCGATGATGACAGTCTCCCATGCCTCTCGAAACAATGAAGTCTCTTTCAACCACAAACCCCAGTGATTCTGGTCAGGTTCAAGCTCGTAGTAGCTACGCCACATCAGCCAAGACTGATAGCTGACCTTGAAGTACTGGAACATGTGCGTCCATGTTGTGAGCAAGCTGCCCGCAGCAAGTGCACTGAATAGCCAGACATGTCTTCTCGGTGGGAGCTGTGCAGTAGTTGACTTTCGCAACACGCTAGCTCTTTTCGCAAGTCTCAAGATGATGAAGACTGCGACAGAGAAGCATGTCAACAGATAGGAGAAGAAGATGGCATATGGCCGGGTGTTGGTATCGGACCCTTCTGGGGGCGGTTCGCGATGCATGGAGCGGTGCGGGACAGAGTATCCAGGCGGCCCGAATCCTGGAGGGGCCATCGTGAGACGATTTATGGGGTTTGTTGGGCAGCCATCACGTACAGTATGCTCTCCAGCCTTTATGCTGCCGTTGACGGTGACGAAACGTGTCAAGTGCGGATCAAAGGGCTCTTCTGCTTTGCCGGCAATGTGTATTGATTAACGGCTATCTTGGGACTGAGCTCCTAGGATGCGGCCGCGGTCGGTTGTTGCGCCAATGATGGCGTGGCTGATGCAGGGATGGCCAACCTCCGCAACACGTGCCCAGGTGCCTCGGTGCCAAGGCGCCAGTGAGATCGTCATGTTTTCCCAGGTCCGTCGCGGTCTCGTCTTCGAAGATTCTCGTCCCTTGTTTTGCTTCAAGTAGCTTTCCTCCCCTGTGCTAACCTTCGCTGTTGCTTTCTCGCACATTCTCCTACTCTGTCACGACAAACTGCAAACGCCAAACCTCACAACACGGTGATGTCAGGCACACGGACCATTTGAGCTTTGCAAACCCTGATTGGCTGTTGTTTCATCATTTGGACCTCACCGCCACGCCCAAGCTACCAGACGCCCAAGTTGCGTAGCTCCGTCGATATTTTCCAGTCATCTACTGTGGTGTTTGAACATTCATTGAAGCTGTCGCCGCGATGACCGATACACCGCAGACCACGGCGGGTGCCAACCCCAAGGAAGCCAGGGTCCTAGAGCAGCATCTAGACCCAAGCTTCGACTTCTCAGAGTTTGACCCAGCGACGCCAGCGGCAGAAGAGGGCGCAGATAACGCCTCCAACTCGGGCGACCGCCAGCTTCCGGAATCGTCGTTGCGGTTACAGGGTGGCGACATCCACCGCGACCTGTACAAGATTGCGGCACAGAACAGACGGCAAAAGTTGCACCAACGAGCAGCAACCTTTTCTGATGCAGTCCACTTTGGCCGCAACCCTGCCCCGTCAATCTCAGACGTTGACCATGACGAACTACCTGTTCGCGACCAGCTCGCGCCCGGCGGTCTGAGACGCCAATACTTACAACGGCAAAGCAAGCGTGTCAGCTACATCTCGGAGCCTGTTACACGAAACTTCATTTCGTTCCTTGAACTGTATGGCCAATTCGCCGGTGAAGATCTTGATGAAGATTCGTCGGATGCGGAATCTGCTGTTGAAGAAGAAGATGAGGGGCAAGGCGAGCGAAGACCACTTCTCGGACGCCGACAAAGCTCGAAGAGACTGAGGGCTCAGGGTGATGCGGACCAAGTCAAGACCTTCTTCACTCTCCTAAAGGCGTTCATCGGTACCGGAATCATGTTCTTGCCCAAGGCCTTCAAGAACGGCGGCATGCTGTTTTCGTCGATCACCATGATCATGGTTTCTGCCATTACAGCGCTGTGCTTCGAGTTGCTGCTGGCGACAAGAAAGAGGTATGGTGGTGGTGGTTACGGTGATCTGGGTTCTATCGTCGTGGGACCGAGATTCCGTGCCCTCATCTTGGTATCCATCACGCTTTCGCAAATCGGCTTCGTATGCGCTGGTCTTATTTTCACCGCGGACAACCTTCGATCGTTCCTGGATGCTGTTACTCACGCCGAGGAGCCCCTCTCAACCAATGCGCTCATCGGTATCCAGATCGCTGTTCTGATACCCATGTCCTTCATCCGAAACATCTCCAAGCTCGGACCTGCCGCCCTTCTCGCCGATGTCTTCATTCTCATCGGTTTGACGTACATCTACTGGTACGATATCTCATCGATCACCAAGATGGGTGGTTTCAACCCGTCTATCGAACTCTTCAACCCCCGCGACTTTACTCTGACTATCGGTTCCGCGATCTTCACCTTTGAGGGCATCGGCCTTATCCTCCCCATCCAGTCCAGCATGAAAGAACCCGAGCACTTCAGCAAGCTCCTCTACATCGTCATGCTCATCATCACCGTCATTTTCACGTCTGTCGGTGTCCTCTGCTACGGAACTTTCGGCGAGAACGTTTCCGTCGAGGTCATCACCAACTTCCCCCAGACCAGCAAGCTCGTCAACGCCGTCCAGTTCCTCTACTCCATGGCCGTCCTCGTCGGCACACCAGTGCAACTCTTCCCCGCCATGCGTAACATTGAGCTCAAGATCTTTGGTCGCGCATCCGGCAAGCAGAGCAACATGACCAAGTGGAAGAAGAACGCCTTCAGGACGTGTCTCGTCATTCTTTGCGGTGCCATCGCTATCCTTGGAGCTAGCGACCTCGATAAGTTCGTCGCGCTTATTGGAAGCTTTGCCTGTGTGCCTCTGGTGTACATCTATCCTGCCTACCTGCACTACAAGGGCGTCGCCAACCGTCCTTGGGAGAAGTTCGGTGACATCTCCATGATGGTCATCGGTGTCGTTGCCATGGTGTACACTACCAGTATCACACTTGCTAGGTGGTCTGAGACCTAAGAACAGAAAAAAGGGTGATTGGAAGAGTGCAGAAAAGTCCCTTTACAGTACGGTGGAAGCAGCGTCGCTATTGCATAATTTGTTTCTCGCACGGCGTTCAGGTGGATGGGTGAATGGGATGTCTTTGTTATGGTATTTTTAACGCGCGCATGTTACAGTTACGTGTAACGATAATGGCATACTAGTACGATCTCGTCTCCTCGCATTTCCCCTGTGATGAGCTCTACAGCTCAGTTACCTCGCTTCCCCTTCCACAAGCGTCTTACTACTGATCAACATTGAACGCCTCTTGCAACCTACGCCAGAACGGGAACGCCTCTCTCGATGCCCATACTTCAAGAAGGCAAATGATGACACAAGCTGCCTTAAACAGCCAGAGAAGTCCGACGGAGATGTCGCAAAGGTACCGCCAGGCGACGATCATTACCATGTCCATTAGTGTCATATCAACCTCATCAGGCTCAACATCACCGAGCCATGCATTCCGAGCCTCTATCTCCTCTCTCGTCATCCTCCTCGCAACTCGGGCTACCTCTTCCTTTTCCTTCCTAATACTCCTCTCTTCTTCCCTCTCTACACTCCGCCAAATCTCCGCTAGATCTTCTAATCCTTCTCTCTTTATCTCAAACCACTTTGCCCGACACAGCGGACATTTGTTGCTATTCGGCATTCCTGATGCGAGCGACTTGCGCAGACATTGATAGCCGAAGATATGGTCAACGCAATGTGGTGTGTTGGTGATGAGAACGGGTGCGTGAGCAGCGTGGAACGGGTCTTGACAGATTCCGCATGTTGTGCCTGGGGTGGGGTAGAGGGGGTGTGAGGGCAGGAGTGGGAGGAGGTTGCTGGCGAGGAAGGTGGGTAGGGTGGTTGTGGTGGTTGTGGAAGTTTGAGATGGTGTAGGATGTACAACACGCCTACGCTGACCTGGATTGGTTCTTGGTAGAGGGGTAGGGTCGAGGAGTGTTGCGGTGACGGAAGGGGGGAAGATTTCAGTTAGTGATGGGGAGTGGTAATCTTCTGGTAGCGCAGCGGATTCTGGTTGGGCTAGAGAGCTGGCTGCTCGTTGTATGGGCGAAGACGGGCGGTATGGTTGGCTTGGGTCTATTCCTCCGAAGCGGTCGCGCCTGCCTCCTGGATAGAGATCAGATGGTGAGATTCTCTCGTGATGGATCCAGTAGGGGCGGGTGGTAGGATGGCTTTCGCCTGTTTGGGGAGGAGGAGGAGAAGACATGTTTCGCAGGTTCGATGGTTGAGCGCTGTGGTTGCGGTGAGGGATGGTTATAGACGTTCTTTACGTTGAGAAATGTTCACTAGTGGATGAAAATGGGCGATGGAATGTATAGCTGCATAGAGAAGTCTAGTCGAATGGCTCGTGCCCTGGCTTTCATTGCTTTGGCCTACTGCCTACTTCACTGTACCCCAAAGTACCTCTCGAGTGATGAGAGCCTGCAGTTGAAGAATCACCTCAAGCTAATCTAAGGCTACAACGTGAGCCGAGAAGGAGAGATACCCGAGGATCCAGCTATACGCATCTAAACCGCGTTCTTCTCCACTTCTGCTCTCGGGTCATCGACAACCTCCCACTCATCGTCCGCGTCAATCTTGTCCCACTCCTCTTCGTCCGAGTCCAAGTTCAGTGTCTCGAACTCTTCCTCGGGAACCTTCTCTTCGGGGGCCTTGGACTTATCTATAGCCAGCACCCTGTCCAGCTCGGCACAGGCAGCGGGATCCGTCTGCACCGAAGCGAGGTTCTCGACTGCGAAACGCGATTTGATAGTTTTTGTGGTCTTCTGGCTCCTGACGGGCAACTGAGTCCTCCTGCCTGCCACGTCAGAGGGGTTGAGGGAGTATGTCGGCACATCGCGTTTGGCAGGTGTTGTGGGGGTTGTGCTAGTCGTCGGTCGCGCAACAACCTTGCTCTGAGCGCGCTCCGCTTTCTTAGCAGAGGTGTCCGTCTGTGGTCCGTTCCTGAGCATCTCCAAAAGCTCGGGGAAGGAGAGTCCAACATTGCCCATATCCGCGACCATTGTGTCGATCTCTGCGTCAGTGTATTTCCGCTGGCGAAGATCACGAATAGTTGCTAGGCGTGCTCTGAGGCCTGGTGAGCCGTCGAGTTGTGTTGGTTCGTAGCCAGAAGCCCGAGACATGGTTTTTGGTGGGGCCTTTATCCAGGCATCCGAGGCCGATTTGGGTGAAGTGTAGACATTAGGCTGGTAAGCTGGAGGCTCCCAAATTGTGGGCTTGAGAACTCTAGACTTGAGAGGTGTAGGCTCTCCGAAGACTGGCGGCTTATGTCTGTCACCAAGACTTCGAATTGGTAACGTAGTCCTTGATGTATCTCTGGAGGCGGAAGAAGGAGTGCTGAAATCGACATTTGCGTAAGCAAGCTTGGCGGAATGAGATCCATGTACCTCTCCCGTCTCCTGATTGATGGGCGCGATAATTTTCGCGGAGGTATCGGTAGTATTTGAAGAGGTATAGCCCCATGGCCAGGGCCGTGTGAGCCCGGGGAACTTTGCTTCGGCTGAAGTGCCGGCTTGGTTGACAGTCATGCCCACCCGAGCATGGGATGTTGAGAACAAAGGAGGCTGGTCGGGCGTGAATACAGCCCCTGGTGGTTTTGTGGTTGATGCAGGCCGCGCTGGCCGTAATGATCGTGGTGGCTCTTTTATCAACCATGATGACCCTGATGATAGCGGTGCCTGCGATGGCAGTGGTGACAGTGATGGCAGGAATGGCGGGGATGTCATGAGTGAACCTAGTCGCGATTCGGGAGAAGATTGCGCTGCGTTGCGAAGCTCATGCTCGCTTTGTTGTCGTATCGGTTGGCGGTGAGAGACAAGAGATGGTCCAGCTGTGGAGGAAGCACGCACGAGAGGTCGATATGTTGACGGAGGTCTATTCCAAGGGTGCTCTGGGTCATGGGAGCGTCGTATGGTAAGCGACGAGTAGCTGGGAGGGTCATCACAGTTGAGCATTTCCCGCCTGCGCCCAGGAGGATTATTGGGAAGACTGTCTTCCGTCGGACTTTCGCATCCCCATGTAGTTTCCTGCATGCGCCCAAGAGGAGAATGATTGTTATAAGAATTGTCGTCCGCCGGAATTCTGGGGTCCCTTGAAGGAGACATGATTTCAGAGGTAGATGAGAGGTCGTGAGTGGCGTGGATGTGTAGGAGTGACAGAAATGGAACTCTGATGGCGGAAGTGCTGCTTTCAAGTAAAAGCTTTTTTGAAGTGAAATGCGACCAGAGCAACCAAGGAAATATTATGTGCGACAGTGTGGCCGAGACGGCTGTGGGAGGCAGCAAGAAATCACGGACCAGCGCAGTTGACAAGCGGTGCACCGTAGGGGTTTGGCTCAAGGTCAGCATTTCGTGTCATTACTTGGTTCAGAGGGGTGAGGAGCCACTGGTACCTCCCAACCCCATGCCAATCATCGTTCTACTCATTTCAATTGGATCCTGTATACGTACGCATGACTACAGGACCTCAACGCTCCAGTGAAGCTCTTTGATTGCATACATTGAAGGTTAGTTGCACACAGGAGTAAACGCGCTCTTGAAGTCTACTTTGGCGCGCTCCTTGCAGCGACGGCGCTCACAAGTATGTGGCTAGATAGCTCACTTCCATCCTCGAGCGCGAATACCGAAGGACGCGATGAGTACAAGGAGTGAAAGTAGCTAATCGATAGGCCGAGGCGAAGAAGCAGCGACAAAGACAGCCAGGTGGTCAGTGTTCAACGGCTACAGCGATCGTTTGGCGGGCCTTTGCCGCGTGCTATACTTAGCCACCACCACCGACACAAGCGAGAGAGGGCTTAAACATGCGATATCTCGAGCAATGATAGCAAGGCTAAATAGTCAGAGAGGATGCAACGCAGTGCACCATGGTGAGCGATGATGCAGGTGTCGTCCCAAAAGGGAGAGGCGGGCTTGGCAACGCTATGGCCAGCGCGATGGGCGGCCCACTCGATTGTTTGGATTCGTCCCGCGTCACAACATTCAAGGTCCAACACCCCAACGCCCCGACGACGACCCCCCCAGGACTGCCCTTTTGCCTTTGGCGTTGATATACAGGACTGAATTGCTTCGAGACGACATGCTCAGCTAACCTAGACGACACCTGACCTTTATCCGGAACGCGACTGCCAGCACCGCGACGCGCCCAACCACCCGCACTTACTTCTACCTCGCACACATTCGCCATGGCTGCCCGCACAAAGGCACCCACTGTAGGGTCCGCTGGATGGATCCTCGAGGAGCGCCATCAATCCAACACGCTTGTATCCCAAGAATTGGAGGATTTTGGCTTCTCTGTGCGCAATGAGCTGGAATGGCTCAACGAGCACATGTTCGACATTTTGGCCAGCGACAGACCGTATGTCGCGTCTACCTTGCGTCAATACGCGCCGAACTGACTCTCCGGTAGACACAACCTCGATGTCTTCAAGACACCCGGCAAATTACGCGGCAAGACGCCTCGCACCGCGCGAAAGAAGGCGGTCGATCGCCAGGTAAGAGTTTGCGCGTCGCCTTCCATCCCATACTAACATCAGCCAGCCTCTTGCCAGCATCAAGTCTGCGAACGCGCAGAAACGCACAAGCGCCGCCGAAGAGAGTCTGCGAAACGTCAAGGCTAGATTCCAGATCGCCGAAGACGCAGAGAACACGGTTCGACAGTCGCCTACCGTCGCCCGCACGCCCATCGCGCGACAGCTGTTTACCAAGCCCGAGAGCGCCGGCAAGGAGAACATTGATACTAGCTTCCAAGCGAATGTATTCGATAAGCGCCCAGCACAGCCTCTTGCACCAGCATGGAACCCAGTCCAGTCCTCGCAAGAGACAGTAATGACTTCAGAAGCCAGCGAGGTCTTCTCACCGCCACAAAGCTTCTCAACACAACCCACACAGCCCACTCAATCCTTCCGTCAATCGATACACGATAAGGAAGAAGACCGCGACACTGGCGATTCTTTCGTTTCAGCGAATGAGGCTTTCGCGAGCAAGAATGCCTCGCGCGAAGCTTCGCGCGCCAAGGACGCGGATGCCGATGCGATGGAAGTGGATGACGAATACAAGGCCGACCGCTCGCGATCTGATGCCGATGGTACAATGATTCACCACGACCTTTCTGACGCGGAGGATCACAGCATGGAGGATATGGAGGACTTCCCAGAGCCACCACGCGTAGTTTCCGAACAGTACAGCATCTCCGCCGAGACCCACGACGCGCTTGACACCGCGAACAACCGCGCCCTGGCGCCTGAGCCAAAGAATATCTACGCGCCTGACCACTCGACTACGCCCTCGGGCCCGCCGCCTGCGTCCCCAGAAGTCGAGCACAACGACACCCTCATTCACCATGATATCGATGATCAAATGGACATGGACGATGATGTGCGCTCCCCTTCAGACAACTCCAGCCCTGTAAAGCCGCTCGTTAGGAAAAGCAGTCTTACCTTTGCCTCCCTTCCCGCACGCGAGCCATTGCTCCCGAAGAAGAGCATGGGCAACCGAGTATCGCGCATTAGTCACATCGACCAGAGCAAAGCCCGCAACAGCCAGATGGGCAGATTCACAGGAGGAAAGAGTCTGGGAGGCTCGCAGCTCGCGCATCCTGCGGAGATACAACACGCCGATGACTCGGATGTGGATATGGAACGCCCGGAGCTTCAGCGAGAGGAATCGGAGACAACGAAGGTTCACAACAAGACGTCGACCCAGCGTCTATTCGAGCGAATCAACATGCTCAAGCAGCAGAACGAAGCGCCGAAGCGCATTAGCCAGAACATCACATCTGCGCAGTCGCAGCCTCAGGAACCCACACAAGCAAAGGAAGAGGTGGCACCTGTTCAGACTTCACAGCCAGCGTACCCGAGTCTTCCAGCACCCGAACCCGCACAAGAGGATGACGACGATGACGACTGGATCTCGCCGGTTCGGACAGCAGCAGTTGCACCCAAGGTCGCCAGGCCTGCTTTTAACAAGAGCCATACTGCTGACGTCCAGGTCTCTCCAGCTAGGCATGTGCCACCGAAGCTCACTTCAGTCTCAAATCCGGATCTCACAGCAGTTGCTGAATCAACCACGCCGGTTGGCTCTCCGACTAGTAAGAAATACATGGATGGCCCCCTCAGTGCTTCGAAATCTAAACTGTATTCAGCATTCCGCGCAGCGAAAGAAAAGCTCATCGGATCGAGTGCTACCAGCGCTCAGGTGAAGATGGATGCACTCAAGGAGAGCCCTGCTAGGCCCAAGTTCCCCTCTTCAGACCCATCAGAAGATGCCCTAAGCAGCCCCAAGCGCGCAGAGAGACCGGCCACCATCTTCACTCATATGCGCTCACCTTCCAAGGACTCTATCAAGTCCGGTAAGAGTGCTACCATGCCCGGTAGTCCACTCAAGGGAGACGGTCGACGGACTCGCAGCTCCACTGAACGCGAGAAGCAGAAGGAGAAGGACGCGAGAGAGAAGGAAATGAGAGAGACCAAGCAACAACAGCGTGCTGAGGACAAGCTCAGGCAGATGCGCGAGAAGGAACAAAGCAAGGCTGCTGCACATGCCCAGAAGGCCAGAGCCATGGGCGCAAAGACACCGACCGCTATGTCGTCGCAATCAAGTCTTAGGCAACCCACTGCATCGGCTGCGAGTAAGACACCAGCCCAGGCAGCACCGCAACAGCCCGTGTCTCGACCTGGCATCCCTCGATCAAACACTGCTTCCTCCAGGGAGCAAGACGTGGACTCTGGCGACGAAATGCCACCCCCTCCACCTCCCAAGAGCCTGTTGCCTACCACTAAGACAACGAAGGCACCTCTTCGGGAGCCTAGGAAACTTGCCAAACCATCAAGCAAGGACGCTATTACAAAGGCAAAGGCACCCCAGAAGATTATGGTCAACCTGAAGAGCAGCCAGTACGGACAGGCACCTCCCCCTGCTGCTCGTCCGGCTCCGTCGTCTAGCAAACCTCTCCCATCGGCTCCTCAGAATTTGGGGAAATCTGTAGGACCTTCATCAAGGCCTCCTACAGCCGCAGCGAACCGCCCGGCTTCAGCTTTGTCTACTAAGTCTGCACCCGGAACCAAGTCTGCAAGGCCGATCTCTAAGCCTCCCGCGCCTCAAGCCGCCCGCCCGCAATCTGTGGTTGA